AAAAAAAAAAAAAAAAAAAAAAGCATTGATCCATGTCACGTTAGTTTTGTGTATTTCACTGTACATTAATTATATTTCAATAAATTGTATTAAAAAATGAATTGATATATTTGAATTGCAGCATTGGCAAAGAATATTGAAAATATCACAGATTGCCAGAGAGTAAACAAACCAGTCTTTGAGGAAGTACAGGTGGGATGCTTCTTAGACGCAAGAATGGCCAGACCTTGGCTCTCATACTTTGGTCATGTTGCCAGAGGGGACCCGACCTTGGAGAAGATAAAAGTAGAGGGACAGCAAAAAAGGGGAAGACCCTCAATGAGATGGACTGACATAGTTGCTGTAACAATGGGCCGGAGCATAGCAACCACTGTGAGGATGGCTCAGGACCAGGTAGTGTTTCATTCAGTTGTGCATGGGTCACTATGAGTCAGAACTGGCTCAACAGCACCTAAAAGCAACAACAATGATGATTTTGAATTATTCTCTAGAGTCAGGCCTCTATGAAGATTCTGTCTGCCATGGGCTCCATTACTCTGGTAGTGTAGTGCCTAAGGCACTTGACTGCTAACCAGAAGGCTGGCGGTTCAAACCCACAAGCCACTCCTTGGAAGGAAGGTTGGGCAATCTACTTCCGTAGTGATACTGTCTTGGAAACACAAGGAGGGATCTTTATGAGTCGGGTCCGATTCGATGGCACATAACAACAACAACAGCATGAGTAAGGAGGAACACCACATCCCTTGGAATCCCACCAGCCAGTTCATCCACAGAAATGGCAGAGATGAACTAATCATACATGATCCCTTATGAAGAAAAAGCTCTGGGTGCTGCCACAACCCAGGCTGTTAGATTCTGGTTTTAATGAAGGAGAAACACATCGCTATCTCATTTTCAAGGAGAAAATATGACATTTGTATGGACATAGCATTATGTTGATTGACATCTGGTTAAACTACCACAGTAAATTCAGCATTTCACTTCAATTTAAATAAAGTAGAAGAGCATGTGAATATAGGAGCATGAGTGTGTTAAGGTCTCAAAACTTTACTTTCCATGGAGAGGGCAAAAGGCGATCTGGGCATGATAGCCTTTTTTGCATAGATGGGGTGTCTCACTAACTTCTGCTTATGTAGGATAAGCAAAAACTAGTCACTCATACACAGTTGTCTTGTCAACAGCAATACTTTTGTGCTATTGCTGTCAATAGGAAAGGAGTCATTTTCTTCTTGCCTTGTCCCTTGTCTTGCCTACATAGCTTGTTAGAATGTTAGAAGGTGGCTAGGACAGCCCCACCCTCCTGTCTCCCAAGTAGAGCTCTTCAGCCCCAGATGGATGGTTGTGGAAGTTATTCAATGGAAATATGCCATAAGGCAAACCAGCACTATTGTGTGGTAGTATGGGTTGTGTGTTGCCTTCTGGGCTTCATGAGAGTAGGGAGAGGGGCTCCTGTAATAGACACCACACTCAACAGTGGTGGCCACTGGTTGACATCATGCCATGTGCATGCAGATGAGCTTTATCTGTTTGAAAACAGAGCATGTGGAAATCTAGGTCATATGAGTGGGATGAAGTCACTCAGGTGGCCTAGTGCTGGACACGCAGGCCACAAGTTTTACTCCATCTGCCCCACAAAGCCCAGAGCCTACCTCATTGATGGCTAGCTGTTCACCGCCCCCACCAGGGTGGCTATAGTAGTGACTGGATCTGCACACATCTTCATACAGGTCGTCCTCACTCCTTGCCTCCTGTGCATGGATGGCTGTGTCCAGAGCTTCATCAGGGATGGCTGGAATGAGAGAGACAAGTTTGCAAAGGAACAGACTAGTAAGGTTGGGAGGGGCCATGTGGAGAAGGAGGTATATTTTCTCAGGATAAATAAACACTCTCACTGCAAGCATGTGGCCTATTTGAGAGAAAACACTGGCTGGATCTCTTCTCACCACCTGTAATAGTCACCTTGCTGTGCAGCCTGTGTGTGTGCATGTGATCCCATTGCCCCCTCTCTTCCTTAGAGATAGCCAATATTTTGAATTATTATAAATCCATTCCTTGCTTTTCTTTGCTTTACCATTTATTTCTGTCTAGTTTTGCCTAGTTCTGATCTTACCTAAATGGAACCATCCAGTAGCAATTTTTGTGAGGATGTGACTCATTCATTTTCACATATGCACAGTCCTGCATCTCCATTACACTTCTGGAGAACTGTGGGCTGCTTCATGTGGTGATGCAGTTATGAATGAGGCTGCCTGCAGACACCTCCTTGGGGCATGTGCCCAAAAGTGTCTCTAAGACACTAAGCTACTGTTTTTCCCTATTCCCAAAGCAAGGAACCTCTTTAAACATTGTTTTCCTAATTGCACACCCTGCCTCCATGAAAATTTAACTTTGTATATTGTTTATGTACTGCAGTTCTTTGGAGGGCCAAAAACCACTATACTTACTACCGTCCAGTCGGATCCGACTCATAGTGACCTCTCCCTGGGTCTCCAAGGCAGTATCACTACTGAAGTAGATTGCCCAACCTTCCTTCTGAGGAACGGCTGGTGGGTTTGAACCTCCAGCCTTCTGGTTAGCAGTCAAATGCCTTAGGCACTATGCTACCAGAGTGCCTACAAACTACTATAATATCTAAGATTTTTTCAAATCCTCCACCACTTCAACTGATTTTGGCCCCCTTAGATGAAATTATCACCCATGATAAGAATTCATGATCTAAGGTATAAACACCTATATGAGGCCTAGCTGGGTCTAGGATATGCCGAACTGTTTTCCAAAGTTATTCTACCCACTTATAATCCTGATGGTTATATATGCATGTTTCCGTCACCCCATATCCTAGCCAACTCTTGGGATTCATATTGTCAGACATTTTAATTTTTGACAGGCTGACAATCTCAAAAGCCATCTTAGTAGTTGAAACTGTTGTTTCAACTTACTTTCTCTGAACACTAATGACCTGAACATTTTAACTCTATGTTTATGTTGTCATTGGGTGACATCAAGTTCGTTCTTTTCATTTTGAGTCATGCCACACCAGCAAATGAAGGTCCCAAAACCTTTTTTTCCATCAGATGGATTGACACAGTGGCTGCAATGATAGGCTCAGGTATAGGAAAGATTGTGGGGTTGGCACAGGACCGGGCAGTGTTTCATTCTGCTTACATAGGGTCGCTATGAGTCAGAGATGACTCAATGACATCTAAAAACAACTACTACTACTTTGAGGAGGCAGCCCTTCTTTAGTCATATTTTGAGTGTCTTCCAACCTGAGGGGCTCATCTTCCAGCTCTATATCAGACAATGTCTCTATGTTTATAGTCATTTGTATTTCCTTTCCTGTGAAATGTCTGACTTCGACCCATTTTTCTACTGAAATTTTAAAAAACGTT